TAAACATATCCTAGGCTTATAAAATTTCCTACACAAGACCAGAATATTAAATCACTTAAGAAAAAAAAATAATTTACATATGCCCCATTCATTTACATTTGCCCCATTTATTTGGGGTAAATGTARACAATGATTTCAMGTTATAAGARTGAAATAGAATCTGGATCTGGGGCATATGTAAACAACCTGTATTACCTTTTACTAAGAGTAAAAAGGCCTCAGAGTGTCACAGAAGTAAAGCCCTTACAGGGATGGTGAACTACTATGCTAAGTTTATACCAAATTTATCAACCTTACTAGGTCCTATTTACAATTTGTTAAAAAAAGAGGTAAAGTTTGTTTGGACAAATGAATGTAGAGAGGCATTTAATAAGACAAAGCAAGCAATGGCATCAGAATCATTATTGGTTCATTACAATCCTGATTTAAATGTTGTATTGTCTTGCGATGCGTCGGAGTATGGTATAGGAGCAGTGTTAATGCATATTTTTGATAATGGAGAAAGGCGACCAGTRGGGTATGCATCAAGAATCCTGACCATGGCTGAAAGAAAATACTCAGTAATACAAAAAGAGGCTTTAGCGGTTTTCTGGGGGGTAAAGAMATTTTCTCAGTATCTTTTGGGTAGAAAATTTTTTCTTGAGACTGACCGTAAACCTTTGTTAGCGTTGTATGGGGAAAAGAAAGGTATTCCTGTTATGGCCTCTGGGAGAATTCAAAGATGGGCGTTATGTTTATCTGAATTTGATTATCAAGTGGTACATATTAAAGGTAATGATAATAAAGTGGCAGATGGACTTTCTAGACTACCTGATAAAGATGATGTATTAATTCAAGCAAAAGAAGTGGATTATGTTGATTTTATGGAAAAGACTTTGCCTTATTGATTATGAGGTACTTAGAGTAGAAACTAAAAAAGATAAAGAGTTTAGTTTAGTTATTAAATTTTTGAATGAAGGTTGGCCGATAAAAGTAAGCRAGGAACTGAAACCTTATGCAATCAGAAARGAAGAAATTTGTGTAGATAAAAATATATTATTGTGGGGGTATAGAATATTAATTCCTAAAGTTTTGAGGAAGGATTTATTGAAAGAAGTACATTCAACACATWTGGGTATGTCTAAAATGAAAACWTWGTGTAGATCATACATGTGGTGGCCGGGATTAGATAAAGATATAGAAAAGTGGGTACAAAGCTGCGATGCTTGTTTACAAAGTAGATCGGAACCAATTTTAGCGGAACCAAAAAAGTGGGAGGAAGCGAGTTGTCCAATGGATAGAATACACATAGRTTTTCTATATTTACAARGTAAAAACTATTTGATCATGACAGATATATTTACAAAATGGCCAGAAGTTGCTGAAATGAAAATATTGAACAGTGGTTCGGTTATTGAAAAGTTAAGAGAGATATTTGCTAGGTTTGGATTACCGAACAAARTTGTGTCAGATAATGGACCGCAATTTAGATCAGARGAGTTTATACAATTTTGTAAAAATAATATGATTAGGTTTGTGACGTCCCCTCCTTATCATCCGGCTACAAATGGATCGGCAGAAAATGCTGTTAAATCTTTAAAAAATGGTATATTAAAGGCAGTTAAGGATAAAATAAATAAAAATGTTTCTTTAAATACATTAATTCAAAGATATCTAATGACATATAGGAATACACCACACTGGATAACTGGTGAGTCACCAAGTTATAGAATGTTTGGAAGGAAAATTAAAACTAGGTTAGATCAATTATATATTCCTATAAAAAAAAATAAGTATGTAAAAAGATTTAGAAAAGTATATTTTAAAGAAGGAGACATAGTTTATGCTAGGGATTATTCCAACCCTAACAAAAAAGAATGGAAGAAAGGAACAGTCGAAGAGGTGTTAGGTGATAGAATATATTTAGTTAGATTAGAAAAAGGAAATGTGATATGGAGAAGGCACATTGACCAACTAATAGAAGTAGGTAAGATAAATGAAAAGAGTTTTGAAACAGAAGAAAATGAGAAAGGAGAAGAACAAACAGAACTGGAGGAAAAGAAAATATGAAATTAATGAAAGTTTAGAAAAGGAAGTAGAAGTTCCTTTACCAAAAAGATCTAAGAGAAAGAGAAAAAAACCAGATAAGTTGAACATATAAAATTKTRTTATATAATTATTTAGATTTCATATTTATTGTATGATGTTTATTAGTTAAGATGATTTTGTATAATGTAAAAGATTTAATTATGTATTAACTTTTAACTGTTATTCATTATTTCATTATGTATTGATGTAACTAGGGATGAGGACTGTGATAACGTCATATGATAACATAACCTAATAATTATAATGTATAATAKATAATGTTGTAACAAGAGCTGTAGACAACCATGTGCGAGTTCCAGACTCTTGTATCTTGTATATTTAATTAATACCTAATAAAGCAAAGTTGTTTATTCCAGTAAACTACAAGTGTTATGATACCTTTATAAGATATTACACACATATAACAGTTAATTACACATGAACATTTTACAACAACTTTTTTTATTATTACACATATAAAAACATGTATTAGTTACTAAATGCTACCATGCCCTTATGACTAACATAATCCTTAAATTTATTTGGTTTAACTATGGTTCTTTTTGGTCTGGTATTTTTGTTTTTTCCATTACTCTAGAACTTTAATTTCACTTTGCATATGTACTTCCCCATTATTAATATTTTTATTAATTTCCAATGGTACTACTACATTCTCATCACCCTCTTCTTGTGGTGTTATAATACTCTCTTTTTTACAGATTTTTTGTTTGATGTCATAACCATTGATTTTTTTTTAAACCTACTACCTCATAAAACGTACCTAATTTGATTATTAATTAGATTAGAAATTAATTATTAGTCAAGTAAACGGTCAATGACGAAAACATGACGTGCGAGGTAACAACAAGAAGAGCCAAATCTGGAAACGTCATTTTAAAAACCGCGAACAAGGAGCAAACCGACTCTTTAGCAGAAATCCTGAGATCAAGATTAGGAGAAACGGCGGTTGTCAGGAGACCCTCACATACAGTCCTCCTTTTCCTCATGGGTATCGAAGACTCGGTGAAAGAAAAGGAGCTCAGAGACACGTTGGTAGCATATGACAATGAATTAAAGAGTATTAAAAACATTGTAATACGAGAAGGAAGGAACGGACTTAGAACCGCGGTCATTCGCGTACCGGAGAGATCAGGGCGAAGGCTGATCGAGGAAAAAAGAATCAAAATAGGCTGGGGACTATGCCGAATTAAAGAATTTGACGAAAAGGAACAAGCGTGTAACAAATGCCGAGAAAAAGGCCATTTGGCGAAAGACTGCTGCGGTGCAGAGAAAAGAAAATGTTTTGGATGCAAGGAGGTAGGGCATCTCATCGGCAACTGTAAACAAGAACCCAAGGGGAACATCATCAATCGAGAAGATAATGAGACCAACGGGACGGGAACCACACCCCAGTCCGAACTGTCTCAAGAGACAAAATGATAAGAGTATTACAGATAAATGTAGGGAACGGCCGCGCTTCGCAAGGTCTAATGAAACAAGTGGCGGCAGAAATTAAGGCAGACGCTATGGTGGTGAGTGAGCCCTATAGGAATGAAGGGGAAGAAAACGCTTGGTTTCCAGATCAGACGGGAAGAGCAGCGATTGCAACAAACGGGACATTATAGTGGAGGCCATTGGAATACCATACCGAGGCTTTAGGTGGGTGGAACTCTCGGGCTTCTGCCTCTATAGCTGCTACTGGCCCCCACATTCTAGCTCTGATTTAACGGAATTTTCAAACTTTTTGGATCAACTAGAGTCAAGCATTAGGGAATCAACGAAGCCAGTTATTGCTGCGGGAGATTTCAATTCCAAATCTGGTCTGTGGGGCAGCAACATGGAGGACGCTCGCGGTGGGCTACTCTCAGACCTGATGTCGTCACTCAATATGATCGCTTGTAACAAAGGCAACATCCGTTAGAGGATATTCGGAAACCCATATAGATATAACCTTTGCCTCGGAGAGCATAGGCAACAGAATCAGCAATTGGAGGATTTTGGAGGAAGAATCTCTTAGTCTACACAAGTATATTACTTTTGATGTGCTACCCACCCCTGGTAGTACGATACATCGAAATAGAGACCCCAAATGGAGCTGGAGGAAATTAGATGAAGGAAAGCTAAGAGAATTTATTGATAAGACAACAGTACTAGCTACAGACCAAGTACGGGCAGGAGCCGAAGAGTTGGACAAATACCTAGAAATGGCTTGCGACAGCAGCATGCCTAAAGTGAAGTATAGAGGGAACAAAAATCCAATGCATTGGTGGACAAAGGAGATTGAGGAATTGAGGGGAAAATGTTTAAGTACACACTGGAAGCTGAAAATGTCTAACAGGAAGAGAAGTCGCAATCCAGATACTCCGGAGTTCATAAGTTACAGAGAGGTACAGAAATAGCTTAAAATTGAAATAGAAAAAAGCAAAAAAAGGAGTTGGGAAGCCTTTATGTAAACAAGTTGATGTGGATCCGTGGGGACTCCCATACAAAATTGTTACGAAGAAACTAATAGGGAGGACTCCAATACCGGGCATTGCAGAGCCAGGACGCATAGATGCAATTGTGAAGGGTGTATTTCCTAGTAAGAAGGAAAATATATGGCATACACCTAAGGGAAATATAACTTTCCCGGAGATCACAACGTCCGAAATTATAGAAGGCGCTAAGAAGATTCCTAGGGGAAAAGCACCCGGCCCGGGATTTTTGACACAGATTTATGTATAATATAATTTGATATTGTCGGACAAATGTATTATTATTAGTTATATAATATTTTGAATGTTACCTACATTGATTAGTAAATAATATAATATTTTATTGAATTTTTGAATATATTCCTGTATAATATATTATAAATATAATATATTTTTGAATATATTGTTGGGCAAATGGTGTCGGGCAATTGAATGTCGGGAAAGTGTACTGATCCCCTCGTGACCTGCTCAATATATAATACCTAAAAAAAAAATGTATCTCTACAACTATATGATCTTTGTTAGCTACTTATAACTATTATGTATTATTAGTTATTATGAATATTATGTATTCACTGTAATTCCATTATTATTATTATCATAGGATTAAAACCTTAAATTAATATTCATAATGAAGTACCTCCGATGGGAGGCCACTTCCCTCAGTTTCTTCTGTCTGTTTTGTACTATTTATCAATTAAGCTTATTGTTCAACAATGTAAAAGACAACTTAACATAGAATTTTGTTAAAATAAAAAAATATATATTTATATATATATTTGGGAAAATATTATAAGATATTAAAGAGGATGTCAGTATACTATTTGTTTTCTCTTTTTGGCTCACTCGTAAGATAGACAAAACGCATTTACGCAGAATCATTTTTTCTATGTCTTTAAGTAATTTTAGAATAAAATCTCCAATTACAGAAAAGATAGAAAATAATATTTTTGAGGGAATGACATATCAATTTGGCTAAAAATTGTCTCTAAATAATTTAAACATCATTTAAATGTGGTGTATTTTTTTGTTTATTTTGAAATTCGAATACAAAGTAAACTATCAATAAAATATAAAATCGGTATGTCACTTCCTCAAAAATATTATTCTCTATCTTTTTTGTAATGGTGTAGGTTTTACTCTAAATTTACTTTTAGACCTAGAAAAAATGATTCTGTGTAAATGCAAAACGTGTCCAAGTTACGCGTGGGACAGAGAGAGAAAACAAATAGTACGCTGACATCCTCTTACTTAAACACTGTATCTAAAATTTTACAAAGTACGGATATTTCATTGGAAAATGCTTCTATGCTTTTGGTTAAAGTTATTCAAAATATGCAACATATATTGGATATATATGTTGCATATTTTGCAGGGGCGTATTTATGGGGGCGGCTAAGGGGGATTCAGCCCCCCTCCCGAAATTCAGGAATTGTTTATGAAGTCTGCGTATTATGTCCCAAAGGATGTAAATTTTTTAACTCATATGGCTGAATTGGGAATTGCATTTAGAGAAAATACCACAGCCCCTCCCCCCCCCCCTAAAAAAAATCTAAATACGCCCCTGATATTTTGAATATATATATTAATGGAGTTAGTAAATAGAATTTTAATAAAACATTACTGGTTTACTGAATGGACAAGAGGTGAGAATAGAAGAGATTTAAATAATTGTTCACAATAGGTTGAGTTAACTTGATTGATTTATAGATGTATTGGTGAAAATTAGATGGAGCATTAGCTGAGATTAAATGTATAGGCATAGATTTAGAAACATAGCGCTAAGAAAAAAATAATGAATAAAACGTGTCAAATATAAAATGGTTTGTGTAGGTTAAAGACTTAAGAAGGAATTTGCCGTCTAACCATCATCATCTAATATTGAGTGCTGCACTGTTAGGTTCTACCTCGATGGCAGGACAAGGAGTGGATTTAACGAATCCCATAATATTCCTTAAACAAGAATTTTGGATTTGTTTATTTTTTCCAATTCGTAAAAGAAACAACCATAGTCAAGTTTGAATCAGATGGGGATGCGGTAAATTGTTAATAATAAGCTAGAGGGGTGAGAACCCCACCAGGTATTAGGAACTGTTTTGAGGAAATTGGACTATCGAGAAATTTTAGTAAAGAGTGAAGTTATGTATAGTTTCTAACGTAGTTTTGCATCTAGTTTAATGCCCAAGTAGGTAACATTAGCAATAAAGAAGATGACTTTGTCATCGTAATAGACGTTAGGACTGTTAGGAGGGTCTATATCAGTGTTTCCCAAACTTTTTTATCTTCACCGCCCACTTCCAAAAAAAATACGACAAATACCCCCTTAAAAAAATAGTTACAAAAGTATGCAATGAAAAAAATGAAATTTATTGTTTATAAATATATATATAATGTATAGGTGAAATATAAAGTATAAATAGTATGAAGTATAAATGAATAAAAAAAATCTTAATGAGATGGATGTGGTTAGGTTAGGTTAGGTTAGCTTCATTTGAAAATACTTTTTGGCAAATGAGACACATTGGTAGTGTAATATTTGTAGGCGATTGAATAAAACCGTACTTTGAATATTCAATATTATACTGCCTACATTTTTTCTTTGATTCAGCCATGATGTGAAAAACGTTTAAAATTTAAATAAAATAATACATAACAAATACGAAAATTACTATATAATCGACAACTAATAAGGTCCGCATTCGTGAGTGTACTAAATACAAAAATAATTCTGATAATGTTGATCACGTACGTTGTTTCTGTTATCGCTATAACGACAGATTATCGAAGAATATCGATAAACGACGAACGATTAATCTAAAAATACAAAATACTCATTTCAGATAATTTAGATTACGCCCCCCAATTATGCTTGTAACTTCCATTGCCCCCTGGATATCTCCAGCGCCCCCAAGGGGACGAAATCGCCCACTTTGGGAAACATTGGTCTACATATATATATATACATCGATTGAAAATAACAGAATTACATTTCTCTGGGATTCACTCCAAAATATACCTGGTCAAAAATGACTTTTAGGTCTTCAAGAGCTGCTGAATTGAGGTGTTCAACACCAAGACAGTGTTGTTGTTAGGTTATGGTATTAAGATTTTATATTGAATTTAGTGAGACTATATGGAATCTTAGTAAAAAGGTACATTAATGCATGTTATTTGTAATTTTTCGGTCCAAAATATCCTGATTCCTAATAATAAGTGGTAATGTTGAATCTTATTTAAGATGTTGATTTTAATACCTCCACCGGAAGCCTTTTACGCTTTGTGTTCTTATATATATATTTGTTTTTTTAATTTTAATTTTTATTATGATCTATTACTTCCTCAGTTGTTCTTATAATTATTTTTTGCAATAGATTAAATAAAACATTGTAAAAAAATAAAATAAATAAGATGTTAATTTATTTTGACGATTCGAATTGTGTCTTACAATATAAGTATGACTACTGCCGAGTCACTAATGCCTTGTGGAGGATAAAAGGTTAGTAACATAATAATATAATATTATTTAATATTCCAAAAATTTGAATTATTTGTTTTATTTAAACATAAATAATAAAAACCTGATGGTTATTATACATTTCTCCAAAAATTTGTTTTAATTTAGCAAATCATTAATACAAAAACATTTATCATATTATATAATTTATTAGTGGTATAAACGGGGCTGTAAGGGGTCATACTAGCAATCCCTGAAAAATACTAAGGTCACAAAGGAGTTGAATCGAGTCCTCAGACATTTTAAAAATTAGCTGTTTGAATTTTTGAATGTATTTATAATGCTTTATATTTAAAATAAACTATAATTTTATTAGTTTTAAGAAAAAAGTATGCTAATCGCTAAAAAACTTTCAGTCATATGGAGGGACAGTAAAGCCCCACAAGGACTCCCAAAATTTGGCCTAACTATTATGCCACTTAAATACATAATATTTAATTAAACATTTAAAATAATTGATAGTTAATGCTAGAACTAAAGTTTACATATTTCAATTGTTCTAAATGAGGGATTTTTCAGTATTGTCAATCCTCCAGGAATAACAATATCCAATACTTCCTCTAAATGTTTTACTGGAATCATATTTAACTCTTCCTAAAACAAAGTTTTTTCAAATGATTAAAAATTACAAACAACATCATACATGTACTTTTTAAAAAGAAAAATTGCAAATATTAGAGTTTACATTTTAATTATTCTTACCCTGATATTGTTGGGTATTTTTTTTAAATCTTTCATATTACGTTCAGGTATGATGACCGTTTTAATATTTGAATTGTGTGCAGCTAAAATTTTTTCTTTTACTCCACCGACCTTTTAAGGAAAAAAAAATATATTAAAAATTACTAATTAACTACATTATTTAATATGACATACAGGCAAGACATATCCATTCAATGATATTTCTCCAGTCATTGCAATCATTGGTCTTAAAGGTATTTTCCAAAAAAGAGAGATTAATGCACACACAATTGTTATCCCGGCAGATGGCCCATCTTTTGGAATTCCTCCTGTAGGTAAATGAACATGAACACAGAAATCTTGTATGTTAACTTCATTCTAAATAATAAAAACGCAATAAGATAATGGACAAGTGATTTTTTTTTTATGTGTTAACTAAAAAATTAAATAGTAGTTTACTTTTTTTACAAATGCTTGTATCCAATGCTGTGCTATTGACACTGATTCTTTTAGAGTTTGGCCTGCTAGACCAGTTAGGACTAGCTGATTTTTCTCGTTAGTCGAATACAATTTAGTTGCTTCAATAACTTGAACCATCCCACCGACTCGAGACCACGCCATTCCAATAGCAACACCTATTTTGTTACAACTTTCTTCTACTAGTGTATTTTTTACATTGTATAATTCACTCTAAAAAAACATTTATTTAGCTATAAAACTCATTGAGAAATACTTCCCTTAAAGTACTTACATCGAGAATATTCAATAATAATTCTGGTGTGAYCACATAGTTTTTTATTGTTTTATCACCATTCTCAACTATATCTACAGCAACGTAATGACAAATAACTTCTAGTTTACGCTGCAATTCTCTTACACCAGATTCATTTGTATATTTTTGAACTAATCAAAATAAAATACTTATTTTATTACATAATACTGTAGATAATAATAAATTATAATTCATACTTATATCTTTTATTGTATTTTTGCAAATAGTTATCTGCAACTCATTCATATTATGATCTTTAAGTATCTTGGGAATCAAATAAGTTTCTGCAATTTGCATTTTTTCTTCCTATACAATTAAGTAAATTACTTAATATTTATATGATATTAACTATTTTTGTTCATTAAAATAAAATACTTGTGTGTATCCTTCCAAATAAATTATTTCCATTCGATCACGCAATGTCTGAGGTATATTAGCAGCACTATTAGCTGTTGATATAAACATTACTTGACTGACATCAAATGGCAAGTTAATAWATGAATCGACAAATGAACTATTTTGTTCTGGATCTAAAACTTCTAATAATGCTGCAGCAGGATCACCACTTACACCTCTGTACTAAAAATAAACAAGAAAT